GAGACACTAGGGTTACAGAGTGAACATTTTTAGGACCTCTTTTATATCAGATTGTCTCGTAATTCGTTTCACTTTGAATTTTAAGCTTAGTATCTCTGAACAAATCAAACTTATAAGAAAGGAATCACATGATCGTACTCTTGATGAATGAGCTATATATTATAATAATGTGTGTGGAAGGAATACAGGGCTGCTACAGTGCTGGACATAATTATAAAGCCACTCTAGAAATCGTTGTAATTTGCGTTCTTGTCAATGAATCTGTCTAAAAATTTGCTGTGTTGTGCGCATGTCAACCTTCCATGCATACCTTCGATAGTCTAGAGACAGGGCGCCAAAAGTGAAGGTTGTTTGAACATCTGACGTCACAAATGGTGAAGGTTGTTCAAAGAAGATCAGAGAAGAGAATATGACGTAAAACAGACATAAAAAGCAAACGAAACGGCTGTAAACCGGATAAAAACACTGCAATAAGATTTGAAATCTTTCATTTGGCGGCTTTACAGAGTGCAAGTTTTCGCTCCAGGACCAGCAATTCGCAACTCGGGGTTTTGATTTTTGATGCGTCCTTTAAATTTTACCTTCGCGCCGTCCCTCTTGTACCCTGCGACGTTGTCTAGATTCTTCCGCTCATCATTCTGAGCAAGTATCGTCCAAGCTGGAGAAAATTCATTGCGAAACTACTGAAAAAGAATAAGGTAAAGAAAAACGCATTTTTCAGTAATTTTCACAAAAAAAAGCGGCATAAGAAAGAAATAAGTTCGGCGACGTTGTCTACATTATAGACAGAAACAAGACCTATCGACTACACAAAGAAACTGCGTGAAAAGAGTCAAACAAGGAGAAAAACGAGAGATTTTCAAAAACAAGGTTTTTGCCGGTTTTCTTGTTTGAATCATAAAAAGGAGTCCTGCGACGTTGTCAGCGTGAAAATAGAGATCAAGAGCTTCAAAATGATATATAGCTTGCTAAAATTGGGTTCGAAACAGCGAAGAAAAGGGTACCAGAGCCAAATGCCCCGCGCCCCGCGCTTGGGGTAGCGAGGTAGCGCGCAGCGCGCAGAGACGCAGACGAGCAGCGGAGAGAGACCAGAGCCGGCGGGGTATTTGGCTCTGGTCACTGATCTCCGCGGGGTCATAACGAAACCCTATAATATTATATATCGTTGTGATCCTCATGACACGGCCAGGAGCACTGACAACGTCGCGGGTCTTGAATCTCACTCTATAACGAGATAGACCAGCATTTATGTGGCGACTCTCTGCGCAAGATTTCAGCGCAGTTTCTCGTTTTTGTTGAACTCCAGCGGCTTTCATGAACCTCCAACGCTCAATCGCAGTCTATAGAAAGGTTAACTGATAAGTTTTATCCTAATTTCTAACTGAATTTTTGAAGAAAAACCCTCTTTTCAGCAAAAAAGCCATGAAAACGCAATCTTTCGGTTTTTTGAGCTTTTCTTTGGATGTCACTACTATATTTGCCTCATTCACATTCATCCTTACATAGTTAGTCATTAGTTATGTCATAATATCCCGAGCTTCGCCCCGGATGACTTGTTCCTCTCCAGGTGAAGGTTGTGTCCTCTCATGACACTCAAAGTGAAGTTTACCAGAGTACGTGGCTCTATGTATCGAAGGTATGCTTCCATGATCTCTTAAATCGAGTTTCAGTCTTATTGAGTGTGAACAGTGAAAAACGAAAAAATTTAAAAAAGCCCTTAATGAAAGCTGGACAAAATTATAAAGCCACCTGGTTTCTTTTAATCGCTATTGCATTTCCTGGCTCTCAAATTTTTTTGTACAATCACATCCTAAAATATGAAGCATTTGCAAGACCTTCGGTCTGTCATCCTACTCAAATAGAAGCGATCACTGCATTTTTTTTTTGCTTTCAAAAGCATCAAAAGCCATTCTGCTTTAACAAGAAGCTGGTTTGAGGAGTTTTCCAGCCCTTGTTTATTTCAAATAATAGTCATAATATCTACTAAGCATTTTCGATAGATTAGGGAAAAGCGCTTATATAAACTCTGCGTAATCGCTGACATTGATGGACAGATCCAACCTTACCATAGGGTTGTCACGCTTTTACCCCACAAAACTCTGTTTGCGATGTTCATAAAGCGCTGGATTTGATTTATCACATTGCCTTCATGGTGATGCAGCTTTTGCAACAACTTCTGGTTTTCCGTAGTGATGCAGTTGCGATTTAGATCTGAAAAACTTTTCACGAAAATTCCCTGCGAGCAGAAGATTCGACATAACCCTAGATCCCCTCATTTCCCTCTGCGTTTCATGTCACATTTCACCCGATGAATGAGATTAGCTAAGATTTTGAAGTTTTAAGCGTCTCCTGTTCTATCTCGTGATCTGAATTGGCTTTGATTATGCAGGGTGCTGCACTCAACATTCAGTGAATGTCAACTGCGACTGAACCAGAGTGCCCAACCCCGAAATTTTTTCCTAGTCATGTACACAAGTTCACTGTTGTATGGCTGTCGTAAAGGCTACGTTACCATATTTTCTGTCGCTTGCAAATCGAGTTTTGTGAGTAAAAGCGTGACAACCCTTTGGTGAAGTTGGAGTCTGTCCGCCAATATTAGCGATTACGCAGAGTTCATGGAAGCGCTCCTCACCTCATCTATCGAAAATGCTTGATAGATTTTATGACTATCATTTGAAATGAACAAGGGCTTGAAAACTACTCAAACCAGCTTCTTGTCAAAGCAGAATGACTTTTGATGCTTTTGAAAGCAAAAAATGCAGTGATCGCTCCTGTTTGAGTAGGATGACAGACCGTAGGTGTTGCAAATGTTTCATATTTTAGGATGTAATTGTACAAAAAAAGTTCAAAAGCCAGGAAATGCAGTAGCGATTAGAAAAACCAGGTGGCTTCATAATTTTCTCCAGCTTTCATTGAGGGCTTTTTGAATTTTTTTCGTTTTTCTCCGTTCAAACCACAGGTGCGATAGTGTGAGACTTTTCTCGCCCCCTCTTCACCCCTGAGCCGGGACCAAGGTGATCCCCTTCACCAAAAGCCGAGAAAAAAATCAACAGTGAAGTAAGGTTAAGCAAAGGAGATATCTGTACGTGAATTGTCAATGTATAGGAAAGAAGAAGTCTGTTGAAAAAAGTGCTTGGTGACGGGTGTGAGTAATGATTTCTGGAGATTTTCGAGTTTTTGACATAAAAAAATTCATAACTTTTGTAGATAAACATCTTTCACGGCGAGATGGTGACCATTAGAACCGCCTCGTTCTCCGCTCTCAGAAAATATACAGCATGTTTGAGATCCATTTAAAAAGTGCCTGGTGAAAGATGTGCCTAGTGATTTCTGGGAATTTTCGAGTTTTCAGAATAAAAAAATCCGTGACTACTGCAGCTGGCGCAAGGAAATAGTAACCATCGGAACCGCCTCGTCCTCGGCTTTCAAAAAATATATAGCATGTCTGAGATCCTTTCAAAAAAGTGCCTGGGTGAAGGGTGTGCTTGGTGATTTTTGAAGATACTCGATTTTTTATCATTAAAAAATTCATAACTTTTTTAGATGAACATCTTGTACACCGAGATAGTCACCATTGGAACCTTCTTGTCCTCCGCTTTCAGAAAATATATACTTTGCCTGGGGTCCGTTAAAAAAAGTGCCGGGTGAAGGGTGGGTGAGACTTTTATAATGGGAGTGCACAAGTGCAGGCTTTTTTACCATTGTAAAAAGGCGTCTACTTGAGCACTCCCATTATAAAAGTCTCACCCACCCTTCACACGGCACTTTTTCTAATGGACCCCAGGCAAAGTTTATATTTTCTGAAAGCAGAGGACGAGACGGTTCCAGCGGTGATTATCCCGGCGTAAAAGATGTTCATCTAAAAAAGTTATGAATTTTTTTTAATGATAAAAAATCGAGTATATTTAAAAATCACCCAGCACACCCTTCACCCAGGCACTTTTTTGAAAGGATCTCAGACATGCTATATATTTTTTAAAAGCGGAGGACGAGGCGGTTCCGACGGTTACTATTTCCTTGCACCAGCTGTTCATCTGCAGCAGTCACGGATTTTTTTATCCTGAAAACTCGAAAATTCCCAGAAATCACTAGGCACATCCTGCACCAGGCACTTTTTCAACAGACTCCAGGCAAACTATATATTCTCTAAAAGCGGAAGACAAGGTTATTTCAAAAATATTCACCTTGCTGACGTTGCTGTTCATTTACAGAAAAATTGTCTAACTCTTTCCGAAACAAATGTTCGCATGCACATCAACTATGGTAATTCCAAAAACAGGCAGGGCGATGTAAAAAAGGGAAAAGGAAATGTAAAAAGATACAAGGTGCTGGTCAGAAATATAATTGTATGCTAATCAAGCAGCGTATCACTTCACATTTCAGAAAAAAGACAAACAGTGATGGTAAGGAGTTGGAAATTATGAACTTTGACTGGATGGCTACCCCCCCCCCCCGTCGACATTTTATGATTTCATTACCAAGTAAAACACCCTTCACCCTGGAGGGGTTGCGGCCACTGTGACCCCCTTCACCCTGGAGGAGTCATTCTCACCTTATCGCACCTGTGGTTCAAACTCAACAAACTGAGAGCCGTTTTGAGGGATCAAGGAAGGTTGACATGCGCACAACACAGCAAAGTTTCAGACAGATTCATTGACAAGAACGCAAATTACGACGATTTCTAGAATGGCTCTATAAATATGTCCAGCACTGTATGAGCGGAGGTTGCCGTTCCACCCTTATTATCTGATGATCATACGCTTGAGTAAGTGCGAATTTGTGAAATTTTTTGAGCAGGATGCGATACTTGACGTTGAGTTTCTTCACGACAGTCACTTGAGGTGAATAGCGATCTGGGAGCTCGCTTGGTAGCTAATTCGCAAAGCTTGTTTGTTAAGGAGAGGCTGTGTGTGTTAATGCAACCTTCAATTTTTGAAAACTGTAGATCATTCATCTTCGTTTCAGCAGCATCAGCCACATACACCAACGCCACCTCACTTATGGCAAAAACCGAAAACAAGAGTTTGCCAAACCACGCGAAAGAGTGCATCTCATTCTATGATTTATTGCAAAAAGGCAGAAAGGCTAAAGTTGGAAAATTATTCTATCTAAAGGCAAGAACAAGTTTGACTCCTATCAGCGCGTACGCCTACTCAGATTACTCTGTAGTAACCCTCGAGGCATCTGGCTGGTTCGGGTAAGTAAGTCTTTCATTCGAATATTTTTATTTTTTGTTAATTTCAGGCGAAAAGTTTATTGTCATTACTTTGACGCAAACTGGGATAAGTTGAATTTATCTGTGGAGTCAGTAATTTTTCCCGAGCATTCTGTCCACTGCTGTAGACACCCTGAAGCATTCTACATGGGAATAACCGAAAATAAAAACGATGAAGTTGCTTTGAAAGTACCGGTGCTTGACAGGACAGTGGACAGTAAGTTTGCAAATTTACTTCAAAAAGGTTCTTGTTCTTAAATTTTCAGGACCGTTATACAATTTGTCGGTGTGCCTTGCACCACTTTATGGCAACGAGAGCAAGTGGTTGTTACTGACAGAATTGATTGAACATCATAAATTACAAGGTGTGCAGCACTTTTATGTATATGTCAAAGATATTGATGATTACTCTCGCTTAGTAAGTTGACAGCATTTCTTATCGAAAATTAGTGATGTAAAGCATTAAGGTCATTGATGACTACGAGAAGAGTGGCGAAATTGAGGTGGTTTACTTCACTAAGGAACAGGATAGACTTGGGATGGATTGGCATTTGGTTGGAGTAGTGGTACATGGGCATATCGTCAGTGTTTTTTTGCTTGACCTTGACTTTTGAGGAATGTCTTCAAAGAAGTCGTCATCATTCCCACTATGCTATCTTTATAGATTTAGACGAACGAATTTTGACACTAGAAAACCAAATCCTCGCGGAGTATGTACCGTAAGTTATAAAATATACAAATACGGTGATTTCAATGTACTTAGCATGTTCGCCTTTTAGGAAAGCAATGACAAGCAAACCAAATATAGGAATGCTTCAGTTTCAAACGACATTTGTAATACGCACCAGAAAGCCACCAGAGGAATATGAGGCACACATGCTTACAAATACAAAACCGCTTGTATTTGAAAAAAACGACGCAAGGTCGCCCGATTCATGTGACATCACCGCAGGATGGCCATATCTAGCTTTAGAGTGGACGAATTCTTAACACGTTGACGACAGCGTGCATTTTTAGCTGTCTGCCTTGCGGGACAGTGCCTTCTACAGTAAGTTGAGTATTTTTGGCTGATCAAGCAGGCCGTCATCTGCAGTATCCCTACAGTGATTTTGAGAAGCAGCTAAGAAACGCGGAAGTAATTCCTAGGACTAAAGCATAAAAGAACTGCTAAAACCAAAGTCACTGCATGACCTACCATGTGGGTCACATTGTCGTCAATGTGTTCACCAAGGGACTCAGCTTGGTGCGGCGCATCTTCTAATATCAGTATTGTCCGCTTGAACACAGTAGGAGGCCAGATACGAATAGTTTCAGATTTGCCTACAGTGGGTTGCACAGTAAGTGCAATGAATAAGCACACTAAGTAACTTAAAGCAAAAAACTGGAACGTTTCGTAGAATCTGACTTCTACTGGGTCCAGGCAGGCACTTCTACACATTAGAAGATGTGCGGCGCCAGGCTCAGTCGAATGATGCCTTAAAATTAGGAATTCGCCTACTCTGAGGGAGATATGGCCACGCTACGGTGACATCACCAAAACCGAGTGGCTTTCGTGGTTTTTCGAAGAAGACGAGCTGTATTGCAACTGTGATACAGGGATGATGCAATTTTTTGAGGGAGAGTTTACGCTGAAAAAACATCTTCCTACTCTTGTTTTCCGCAATACTTCAGCTGTGGCTCCTCCAGGGTATATAGCCAAAAGTGTGATAGATCCCCGACGTGTGAGTGTTTCTTTTTCCAAGATTTGGCTTCAAGTAGTCATTCAGGTTGTGTTCATGCATATTCACGAAGCGCGCCTGTACTTTCCTGGTTATAAACGCCTTCGTGTGCCACCTGACAAAGTTCTCATAAGGTTGTAACTTTCTGGGGTAGAGGGCATTATGTCTGTTTTGAGTCCCATCCATTGCCGACAGCTGGCAAGAGCTGCAGGTACATGTTACGTGTGGAATTGCGAGCTTGTTGCAGATGTCCGCGTGGGACATCCCTCTCAGCAAATAATGTCCTCCACCCAGTTTCCTCTTATCTTAATTTGCAGGCTGTAATTTGACCCTTTCTTATATGCAGGCACTATCGTGATCTTTATGACAACTTTGGAAGACCATGGCTAGTACCAAGTATCCAGTCGAGGATGGACGAACTCAAAAGCTTTGGGAACTTCACAATGACAGAGTATCCAACGACTTTAATGCTGAAGCTCTACAAAAACGTCAGACGTCGACTTTCTCAAGTATACAAATGGAGTTGATCAGATTTTGAATTCTTCCGACAGATCATTCATACTCTGTACTATAGAAATAAGAAATTTTGAATTGTAAAAAATTTTGTATGATGTTTGAGACATTTTCTAGTAGAGCTGCTGTACTATCACTTAAGCAATGAGAGTATATTTTATTCAAGCGAGGTTGCTTTTATGTATTTCTCTTCTTAGAAGCAAATGCGTTTTGAAATTCAAGTGCAATTTGGTATAACACAGACTATAACGGCACGTTTTAGGCACCTTTTTTCCCGCTTGAAAAACGCTTTGGAAAGCGCGAAACTGTTCAAAATTTGATTTTGTACACATAGACGCAGCCCCCTACAGTTGAGAAGAAGAGGCGCTGCTGAACCCTATGTTCATCTGTGCGCGATATGTGCATCTCGACTACAGTTCTACAATATGATATGTGCAGCTTCTGAATCGGTGCTTTATATGGGCCAAATAGTGCGATGCCATTTGTGCAAGGAGTTTAATTTCGTCAAATCTGTTTGGACGTTGCTTTTATGGGTGAAGGGCCTAGCACATCAAGCCAGAAGTTGTGCGGGAAAAGGAAAAGGGCATGATGCTGGTACCTGTTTATTATGTTGCGGCTAAAAACTCTCATTTACATGAAACAATCACTTGATTGGAGTACAATCACTTAATTACAGTAATCTCGTCTAGTATATCGCATAACCGGAATTTTTGAAGGTAAGAGGTAGGTTTTTTTGCAATCTGCCCGAAATGGGGCGAGGGCTTTGGTTTGTTGAGTACGTAGTTTTGCCCTACATTTGTTTATCAATAACAAGAACAAAGTGCCGCTACGCATGTTCTGCACCTACAACGCCAGGACAGTCTCCACAAATGCCGGTCTTCAGGCTCTTATCGACGCTGCAGAGCATATCAAGTAACATGTCATCGCTCTGCCGGAAACGAAGTACGGGAAGAAGGACATGCGACAGATGAGTGATGAGACCCTAATCTTCGCAGTGAAAAGGTTCCATCATGAATCGTTGGAGGCGTTGGCTTTGTCGTCCACCCATCAATCGTCCAGCTTGTCGATTCGCATGAGATCCTGTCACCTCGACTAGCCATCCTATGACTATGCCTCCACGTCAGAAGACCACCAGCGTCATCAACTGCTATTCGCCAACATCTGCAGCTAACGATTTACAACTGAATGATTTCTACGAAGACATGAAGGAAGTCGTCCGCGACGAAAAGTATGTTGTGAGCGACTTCAATGCGAAAATCGGTATGCCATTAGATGAGGAATATAGGATCAGAAAGTTTGTATATGGGCTTCGAAACGAAAACGGCAACCGTCTCGTTGGGGTTCTCTCCGCCGCACGACTTTTCCATGAAAATTCCATCTTTATGAAGAAGGAACATCGCCGGTGGACTTGGAAATCGCCCAGCGGAACGGCTTATGCGGAGATCGACCACATTCTTACCAACCGAAAATGAAGCTTACTCGATGTCTCAGTACTTCCATCTTTCTGCAGTGGCTCCGATCACCGCCTCCCTCGAGCGAAGATACGATTCAATCGAAGGCTGGAAGAGAAAGTCTGTCACAGTGCCGCAAGAAGGAAAGTCGCTTATAATGGTAACAGGGGAAGAACTCATATCAAGTTTTGACTGACCCATCGAGGAGGACCCAATGTACGACTACGACCGGCTTAAAGGATTGAGAGCCTGCGGAGAGAGCGCCTCAGTGTCTTCTGAGAAGAACTTGGAATCTATTTCAAAGAACACCAAAGAACTGCTCGGAAGAAGAAGATTTCTGAGGCAGGATCCGAATGCAACCCGTCTCGAGCGACTGATAGCCAACGCCAGTTGCAGAACAGCTTCGTAAGAGGATCTCAGGATATACAGGCACGCCAAGATTTTGGAAGCAGCCGAAGGTAGAAGAAGTCTCAGGAAGTGCCAAAGGGACCTCTGTGAATATCACTATCGCTGGCTGCACTACTGAGCGAAGACGCGACTCCAACTTCTTCCCAATACAAGATGGAATTTATCGCGAAGAACTTTTAAACCAACCTCTTCCGCTCATCAACACCGTGCAGATGCCCTTTGTTCCCACTGGAAAAGTACCACCAAGAATTCTACCTGCTGAAGTGCGCATCGCGATACAGACCATGAGGACGTCCACTGCTTCAGGACCGAATCACCTTTCCTTCGAACTTCTGCGAACAGGAGAACAACGTCTACACGAGATTCTCGCGTCGCACCTGACATCTTACCTTCAAAAGGAGAGGATTCCCGATTAATGGAGAACGTCAAGAACCGTCCTTCTTTTCAAGAGGAGTGAAAGGAGGATCTTCTGAACTACCGCCCAATATGCCTGCTGAGTGTGCTGTACAAGCTTTTCACCTAGATTATCATCACTCGTGTACACTCGGATACTGGATGAAGCCCAACTCCAAGATCAAGCTGGATTTCGCATTCGCAAAAAATTCAGCTGCATGGACCACATCCAGACGGTTTCGAGAGTCATAGAAGTGTGCCGGGAGTACCTACTCCCTTTCCTCCTGACCTTCGTCGACTACGGGAAAGCCTTTGCCAACGTCGAAACCAGCACCATCCTGTCTGCGCCAGTCGATCAAGGAGTGGACCCAGTTTACGTGAGGACGTTAGCCGACTGCTACAAGGACTGCATAATGACGATGCAGCTGTTCCATCGCCCCCTATCCATCCCAATCGGAAAGGGGGTCCGACAAGACGACACAATTTCGCCGAAGCTGTTCACCGCGGCCTTGCAGTGGGTGATGAAGTCACTAAACTGGGAAGAGAGAGGCATACGAGTTGATGGGAGATTCCTGTCGAACCTTCATTTTGCGGACGACATCGTTCTCTTTTCGAGCAGTATCACTGAAGCAGAGACGATGCTGAAGGAACTACACGAAGTAGGAAAGAAGATAGGACTGCGAATAAACCGGAAGGAAACCCATTTCATGAAGAGCGCCCTTTGCGAATATGCAGAAATGGAATTGGAAGGCACCCCTATCATGGAGATGTCTTCTTACGTGTATCTCGGACATTCGATGAACATGGGGAACGACTTGAGGGAAGAATTCAACCCGAGAAGAAGAGCAGCCTGGATTCAGCCTTCGAGCCTCTGAAGGAAGCCACCGATCAACTGAAGAACCCGGAGCTTTGTGTCCACCTGTTCGACTCAACCGTTCTCTTGGCGCTCTGCTACGCAGCTGAGACTTAGGCACCGTAGCCACGTCGAAAGCTCTACGAGCCACCCACAAATCGCTCGAGCGCAATCGTTTAGAGATGATCCGGCACAAGCAACATCTAGTCAGATTTCGCAGTACGGATATGAGAAGAATGTCCCGTTTTCGTGATCCAGCGGAATAAGTTGCGAAAGCGAAACACCGATGAGTCGGTCACATCGTGAGAAGAACAGACGACAGATGGACACTAAGAACATCTGAGTGGATTCCTCCTAAAGCCAAACGTCTCCAAGAAGACCACCAAGAGATGGGCAGACGTTTTCGTAGAACGGATGGACCAGCTGAGAAATCAGCCGGATACGATTATCGCACTTGAAACTCGTGGACACAGCCACCAACGTCAACCAAGAAGATCGTGGATGTCTGGCGAGGAATAGGGACGAATGGATACTTTTCTGCTGGTGCTCGCACGCCACGTGAGGACGGACCTTTCAAGTATCTAAGTAGGTATTTACCAGCTGGGGCCCTGCCAATAATATTTTCGTAATCAGAATGTTCGCTTACCCTCCTATGCCAACTCCCGGGCGCGTAACTCAAATGTGTCAAAAAAAAATCGACAAATCGATTAAAGTAATCGATTATTTCAAAAACTAATGTTGAATTCGTAGTCAGTATCCCCCCCCCCCTGTGGCATCGCGTCCGTAACTCAAATATGGCAAAGATTTATGAAAGTCGATAAAACTGATATCGATCAATAACGAAGAGCAGCCTGTGACCTGCTCCCCGCCCAAAGTTATATGTGCCAAGCTTGGTCCGGACGGCTAAGGATTGAAAATCTGTAATTCGCACTTACGTCCCTACAACAAACAGACTTTAAAGGCAGCATCCCATCAAACTGGAGGGGGGGGGTACCTGGCTGTGCTAGTAATGTAATAATAGACCGCCTAACTAAGCGATGACAGAAGTTTGCAGCACGAAAGGGGTCTATGAAGTCTACAAGTTGCTCCCCTTCCCTCAAGTGGTCTGGATCTCACGTTGGGCTCGGGCGAGTACGAGTACATGCAGGGTAGAGACGCAGAGTCGTTGCGAGAGCCTGCGCTCATGACTACATGCGCTGGACTGCAAGGCCAGAGTGCGCTATACGCACTCTGCCTTGCAGTTCGAAATTGCTTTGTGGGCGGCGTCCGGGCCTACCGTAAAATTAGGGCCACTTTCGAGGCAAATTAAGTTTACTAGACCCTCCTTTTTTCGCTCCTCACTTTGGCCATCGCTCAAATATTGGGTCTACTATGACCGCTACAAAGTTTGGCACCCCTTGTTTTGGTGGGACGCTGCCTTTAAGCTTTATCTATCTATAATTTTTTCATCAAAGTACTCGAATGAGCTCACCTCTGACGGGTAGCTTTTGATAGAGCCTTTTATGCTCCACCCATTGGTAAGCAAATCATCTAAACTTTTCCTCGTTTTCAAAAATTTATGACCAAAAAACATCTTTTAAGCTGGAACTTTACGCTATTTCCCACTCTGGAATAATATGGTTTCTTACAAAATAGTGAATAATCCGCACAAATTAAGCAAATATTAGAAAGAGCTTGAAAAGCGCTTCCAAATGATTTGTCACTTGCCCAGGAAGTTTGTAGTACAGTATCCAAAATCTAAATGGCGTTCAAGATAGCCCGTATGACTTCCTCAAAGCTTTGTCCGAAGAATTGGAGGAGGGAGAGTGCAAAGTGCTGTCGGGATGGCATGCAAAAGTCACTTCATGCAAATGCATGTAAATGTAGGGTTATTTATCGTTAAACAAACAAAAAAACCTTCAGAACGTAA